GATTTCTAGTCTAGCTATAAAAAAACAAATCTCTAATCTAATCATATAAATATTAAATTAAGTCATGTATCGTCCGTTAATGCACATAAAATACTAAGGTATTGGAAAATCACTAGCTTCTTCTTCTTCTTCTCCCTTTTTTTTTTTTTTTTTTTACAATTGATTGAGTACTTCATAATCATGACATAATCAATCATGAGAAAAGATATATATCACATTAATTTTCATTGTGCTTACATAGTTGAACATATATATTTAATTTATTTTACATAATTAACGAAGAACATCGCAAATATATATATATATATATATATATATATATATATATATATATATATATATATATATATATATATATATATATATATATTTCACGTAAAATATAAAAAAAGTAAGATGTTTAGGATTACCACACGAACACATGAACAAGCTTCATTCTAGTTGGGAGCCAGAATGTTAGTGTTTTGTGCATTTTTTTAATGAAATATAGAATAAAAATATAATTAATTATATTATTTAGTATTTTTGTTGAAAGTCGACAAAAGGATACCATCAGTACCATAAAAAAAAAAAAAAAAAAAAAAAAAAAAAAACTCAACAATTTTTTTATTTTTTCCTCCCTCCCATGTTTAATTTTTCCCCCCATCTTATTTGTCATCATAAGCACAACAGATATCCTACGATAAAAAATTGCAGGTTATTTCATTGAAAGTTTACTAAGACCAAATGATGACTTCCTATTTTGACAAGTGAAAGCATACTAATTTTTTTTCCTAATGAATTCAAATTAATCTTGTAACTATTGAATTTGTTCATATACTTGCCTACTAGTGTAATTTTAATTTCTTGCAAAGACACGGTACCTGCTAAGTGCGAGATGATCAGTTATTGTCGACTTTAATAATATCACAGACTAGAATCTGGCAGCTGCCGAAGTTGGATTATTTTATTTATCAAACCAAAAAAATAAAACTAATTTATCACACTAAAATACTTTGTGCCATGTAATCTCCACTTCAATATTCATGTTATTTTTTTTTAAATGAAAATTAATTGTTTGTAACCTAGAGTTTTGAAACATGTACAGTTATCAGAAAATCTTTTCTTTTCTTTTTTTCTGGAAACAATAGAACTTTTATTCTTCAAAATGACTTCCAGATCCTCTACTTCCATGCTATTGACTCCTAAATCATGCTTTCCGTTGCAACAAATGTTAAAACTTAAACAATTGAACATTGATATATATACAATATCCTTGAGTTGGCTATTATCCATGCTTTTCAATCTTGTTTATTCCTTCTCTACATTCTGCCTCCATTTTTCATTTTAATGATTGTCTTTACATTTGCAATTGATTTCCGTTCCTTTATCAACATAATACACGGATCCAACAAACAAACCTAATAAACACTAGACCAATGCCCACTTAACCTCATGAAATATTTCCTAATTAAAACCAACTTAATTAGAATGATTTAAGAAATTCTATGGTATTGAAAGAGTAACTACTAATACTTATTCTATATAGAGAAAAAAATGAATTTTTTTTAGTCAAATAAATAAACACAAAAATGAGAGAGAATTTTTTTTTTTTTAAAGTAAATTTGAATGTAGATAGAAATATTCTTATCAATGGGTCTAGATGTGAAGAATTTTTAATTACTTATTGAGTATTTTAAAAATTTTAGATTAATTTAACAAAAAATTATTACATGAATATATTTTGTGCAATCTTAAGCAAATCTTTATGTGGAAAAGAAAATCAAGATCCAGCCTAAGATGCAGGCCAAAGGCATAAAATTCTAAACAACGAGAAGGAAAAATATGGCTCTCTTAATCTCTTTGTTGCCTTGATTTTCCTTTCTATCAAAAGATTTAATTATTAAAATATTATAGTTGAAAAAAAAAAGGATATGGTCAAGTGTAGTCCTACATGACAAAAAAGTACCATAATTTAAAACGTAAGTTTAAAAATATTATATTTTAATAAAATAGATTTCAAAATAATTTAGTACTAGTTTTTTTGCTCACGAGTGTTGTAGGTTAGATAAAATATATAAAATTATTTTAAAAAATCATTTCAATGTAATATTTTGTGTTATTGTGTTAATCTATAAAAATATATGAAATCAAAGGTGAAAAAAATTATTTATAATTTTTAATCAAAATTTTATATTTAGCTTTTTTTTTCATAATTTTTCTTTAAGAAAGAGGATTTATCCTTATTAATCCATTGATTATAAACTAAAACAAAAATTAAATAAAAAAATTTTAAAAAGCTTTAGTATTTCATAAGGTTGTGTCAAAAAACTAAAATAACAATTAATAAAAACTTACATAGAATTTAATAAAAAAAAATTATTTTTTTATTTTTATTTAATGTTGATGACAATATCCATTTTTGAAATAATGTGAATTTAATTTTTATATATTTATTCACAAAAGAATAAATAATAGTAAAATGAAAAGCTATATTAATTTGAAACATTGAATGGTTAAGCCAAAGCATAATTTTAATTATTTAATTTTAAATAAATTAATTTTAAATATTAAAGAATAAATAAATAAATAGTAAATGCTTAATGTAGTTGTAGTTTCACAGCTTAATTTCTTCAAAAAAAAATAGCTATTCAATATTTTTTATACATCATAACTATACTAAGTGGGTCTAGAGCTTTTAGCATAAAATAAAAAACACTATAAAAAAAAATAACTTGTAATGAATATATTGACTAAATTTGAAGTTAATAAACTAAAATAAAAATTATTACAAAATTGATTTCGATTAATTTTGATTATATAAAGAAGATATAAATAAAACACGTGAATTTTTTTTCCTCCTTAAATATTTTTTTCTTTCTATGCTATGCGTAGCTAGTTTTTGAATACAAGTCTCACGTGCGAGCAATCATCTCTTTTTTTGTTTTTTGTATTTGACTTTCAACTATTAATTAACTAATTTGAGTTTTTTTTCTAAGAAAATCAAGAAAAAATTATTTGAAATGCACTTTTAATCTAAAAATGCCTTTTAGACAAATTATATATATTAATTGTGCCACTATGATTTAAAAATGATCTAAATCTATTTTTCAAAAGAAAAAATAATCATGTTCTAAAAATTTATTTCAAAATTTATACATATAAAAAAACTAAATCAAAAATTTCAGTAAATATAATTTTAAATTAATTGGATGAGAATTTAAAAAAAAATTAAAATGATAAATTTTAAATAATAAAATTAATTAATAAAAAATATAAAAACAAAATGGAAGCAAATCACAATACAAGTGATGAAGTTTGAAATTGAAAAAAAAAATTTACGTAGAAAAATTGAGTATCAAAGTGTTACAAAAATGTCATGAATAATAAAAGAAAAAGTGATTTATGAGGATGTGAATAATATTATAAATAGTAAAAACACGTTTTGTTTTAGTGTTGTTTATAATCGAATAAAAAACTCCAAAAAATAAAAATAAAAGTTTACATAAGAGGAAATGAAAATGATGATACCAAAAGAAGACACCCAAATTCCAAAATTCATACAAAAAATTCCATAAAAAAAAAAGGATAAGAAGAAAGAAAATCAATAACAAAGCGAGAAAAAATAGTAACTATCAAGTCGTTTCAAGACAATGGGAGTTCTAATTCCTGAACTAAAGGAGCAAGGGTGGTCTGGTCCCTCCTAATCCTCTCCTTACAAGAAACTCTCTGTTTAGATTGGTTGGGGACAAAAATATTGATCTCTCGTGGACCTACTTGGCCCACAAAATTGACGGCTATGATTTATTGACTAATTCTTTGACTTTTGATCTAGCTTCTAGCCTTTATCGGTTCCTCTGTCTCTCTCTGTGCATTCGACTCTTTTAACCCAACCCAACCCTCCTCCCAATCTTAATTACAGCCACAGTAAGTAGAGAGAAAAAAAGCCCCAAAAATTACCAAGAATAAAAAGTGTAAAACGACCGGTCACCTCAATTCCAGTGGAGTGCAACACACGGGCGAATCAGAAGGCAGATTTATTCATAAATTTGGCGAGTCAATATTGGGCGCGTGAGAATGGTAAAAGAGGAAAGGTTTGACTTAGGGTTTTTAGCTTTGGGAAACGCATGGGAGCCCATAAGTTATTGGTGTTTGATCGGTTTCTGTCAAACCCTAAAAGAGAAAATTCCAACTATAGCCCTATACACGGTGAAACGGATAAATAGACAATTTATGACAAAGAAATAGAGATTCTAGAGAGAGAGAGAGAATATAGTAGCAGTAATAAGCAAACAACACTTAAAAGAGAGTGAGAGAGTGGGACTCTTGGAATCAAAAAGGGTGAGATTTTCGTTCTCCTTTTCTCCTTCAAAATCTTCAATTCTCAAAATTCTATAGATCACAACCGACATATTGTTGTTGGTGGTATTAATTCTTACCATGTAATTTTTTTTTAGCTTTAATTTTAATTGAATTTTTTTCTTTCTACAGCTAGCTTCTTTAATTCTCAGTATTTCATGGTGGTTTTTAGAACTTTTTTTTTTTTTAATAACAAGCCTTTGGATTTCACCTTTTTTCATTACTTCATTTTTTGTCTTCATCAAGTCATAGGATATATATGTACGCTGTTTAATTTGGTATGAGAAAATTGTTACAACATTCTCTTGCAATTTAAATCTTTTCTTGTTCTTCTTTTAGATGATTTTAATTAAGTTTTTATATTTTAGCTTCTTTTCTTTCCATTTTTGTCTTTGCTGTGGGGTTCCTCTTGTTTTGATGGTGTTTTGAACTCCATATTTATTTTTTATTAAGGTTTTTTTGCATACAAGGATTTATATTATTTTTTTCTTCTTTTCACTCGCACAAATTTTCGTTTTTAGGTAGACTGATCCTTAGTTTTTTATACAGTTTCCCCTCTTTCATGTAATGACAGGCACAATCAAGTTTCAGTGAAGAAGACAACACCAAAACAATAAAGAAAGAAAAAAGCTTTTGATTTCATCTCAAAGAACCAAGCAAAAATGTTTGGTGATTGCCAAGTTATGTCAAACATGGGAGGGAATGTAGTCTCATCTGATACCCTCTATTCGTCGCAGATCGGAAACCCTAACTTCAACTTCATGTCAAGCATGCCCTTCCACACTTTCTCTCCTATTATCCCTGTAAGTCTACTCTTTTGATCTCCATATTTCTTTTATTTTTTGTTTCTCTCTAATCTTTCAATCAGAGTCAAATTTCGCACAATGTGGTTTGCTTTGTTTAGAAAGAAGAAAATGGGCTAGTTATACGAGGTAAGGAGGAGATGGAAAGTGGGTCTGGCAGTGAGCAACTTGAAGAGAAGTCAGGGAATGAGCAAGAGAGCAGTGAACAACCTCCAAAAAAGAAACGTTATCATAGGCACACTGCACGGCAGATCCAAGAAATGGAAGCGTATGTTACTGATTTTAATTTGCACATCTCTCTCAATATTTTTTTTTCCCTTGATCTATCAATTTTCCCTTCTTATACAACAAAATTGCCATGCAGAAAGTTCTTTGCTTTGGATTCTCTGTTTACAAAATCAATATTTTCGCCAAAACCTAAATGTAGCAGTACTCTCTTTCTCGCTTTCTGTTGATTTTCTATCTTAAAGCAAAATTTTCTCATATATGTAGTGCGTACAACCCATGTTATCTATTTTAAACAACCCCATTATACATAAAACATTACTTTTATTATAAGCAAATCAATTAATTACTTTCTCGCTCTAACCATTTTTATTTATCTTATTCAAAAAATCACTATTTTTATCACATGATTAAAATAGAAAGCTCGTTTTGCAGCATGTTTAAGGAATGTCCACACCCAGATGACAAACAAAGAATGAGACTTAGCCAAGACCTTGGTCTAAAACCACGACAAGTTAAGTTTTGGTTCCAAAATCGCCGTACCCAAATGAAGGTAAACAAGTTAATTCTCTCTCTCTCTCTCTCTCTCTCTCTCACACACACACACACCGTCTCTCTCTTAGACCTTTCACTTTCATGGTAACCCTAAAATGTCCCGACTCTTAATGAAGCAGTTGAGCTTTTTTTTTTTTTTTCTTAAAAAAAAAATGTGGTGAACACGATTTCCAAGAAGGCGCGTCGTCCATTACTAACGTTACCAAGCCATCATCATGAGCATTGTAGCAAATGGATCGCATTTATAACTTTGGGTGACTGGTTCATTGCTTACACTCACATATGCTATAATATCTACTGGATATACAGTCTGTCTTCATTAATAACCCTCTGGGACATGCAATAAACCCTTACCTGCACATGTGCTTCCCAAAGAGTGCACTGCTTTAATGCATATGCGTGACATTTAGGGTTAAATTGACCAAGTAATTCCATTTGGCTTTTTTGAGTGTAAGTACTGATGATGTCTCTGTACATTCGTTTTCCTCCATCGAATTTAATAGGCACAACAAGATCGATCTGATAATATTATACTCAGGGCAGAAAATGAGAGCTTGAAGAATGATAATTACAGGCTCCAAGCAGAGTTACGCAATCTTATCTGTCCTACTTGTGGAGGTTCAGACATGCTCGGGGCAATTCCTTTTGAGGAGCTTCGACTTGAAAATGCAAGACTTAGAGAAGAGGTAAGTTTCAATTGTTGATCCAAAAATAATACTAATTAACAATTCAATGAAGCAATATTTAGATATTCACTTTCAACCGGCTAATTATCAAATGATCAGAATCAAATACGTACATTGCAAGTTTTTAAACTGCGGTTCTTGATCAATGAATCTTTAATTAAACTTTTGCGCAGTTGGATCGTGCTTGTTGTATTGCTTCACGGTATGGTTGCCGGCCAATCCACTCAATGGTACCGGCTCCTGCATTTGTTCCCCCTTCCTTGGATTTAGATATGAACATATATTCAAGGCCGTTTCCGGAGTCTTTGGGCACTTGCTCTGATATGATGCCTATGCCTATGCCTATGCCTATGTTGCCAGAACCATCTTCCTTTCCTGAGGCTGGTCTGGTATTAATGGAGGACGGAAAAGGTCTTGCGATGGAGCTTGCGTTGTCGTCCATGGATCAACTTGTGAAGTTGTGTCATGCAAATGAGCCTCTATGGATCACAAACAATGAGAGTGGAAAGGAAGTGCTTAATCTTGAAGAGCACGCGAGAATGTTTCCATGGCCTTCCAATCTCAAGCAGAACTCAGATGACATGAGGACTGAAGCTACTCGTGATTGTGCTGTGGTTATAATGAATAGCATTACCTTGGTTGATGCTTTCCTGGATGCTGTAAGTCCCTCAACTTCAGAAGAATTTCTTTAAATTCATTACAAAAGTATTGAATCTTTTTTCTTAATTAATTTATAAGGCCTAGCATATATTATACAGCATAACTTTTCATTAACCATCTTATCGTCATTTTTTTTAAAAAAAAACTTTGGAAAGCTAATTTAAGCTGATTCTGATTTTTTACAAAATTTTAGAATAAATGGATGGAGCTGTTTCCCTCCATTGTTGCAAGAGCAAAAACTGTTCAGGTTATAGCACCAGGCGTTTCCGGTGCAAGTGGTTCTCTTCACCTGGTAGGCGTGCATTTGATGCTACGATTTTATAATTCCCACAGTTATCGATTTTATATTATTGAACACTAAAAGTACCAGAAAATTCTGTGAAATGCATTATTTTTTGTTTTCTAGATACCTTAATTGTTTGTTACTTGCTATTTGAGTAGATGTATGCAGAATTGCAAGTTCTTTCTCCATTGGTGCCAACTCGGGAGACATATTTTCTTCGCTTTTGCCAACAAAATGTAGAGGATGGCACTTGGGCCATTGTGGATTTCCCCCTCGATAGCTTCCATGACAACATCCAACCTTCGTTTCCCCTGTATAGGAAACGTCCATCCGGTTGTGTTATACAAGACATGCCCAATGGGTACTCAAGGGTATGGTGCACTAGCCTTGATTTTATGTTTTCAGTGTTTATTTGTTTCTTGGAGGACAGCGGGACTGCGATCATTCATAAGCTTGAATCTCCATTAAGTCAATCAATTCATGCAACGCATGCCTTCAAAATCGACCATATGTTCATATTTGAGCCTTGCACATTTCCATACAGGTAACATGGATAGAACATTCAGAGATAGAGGAGAAGCCTGTCCATCAAATATTTAGCCAGTATGTCTATAGTGGGATGGCATTTGGGGCACACCGCTGGTTAGCAGTCTTACAGAGACAATGCGAGAGGGTTGCTAGCCTCATGGCTAGAAATATCGCTGACCTAGGAGGTGCGAGAGTTTACTGTTCTATTATTTCTTCCACTAGTACTTACAATTAATTAAATGCACTGTATCGATTCACGTATTAAGCTCCACTTAACCTTTTATTAATTATTTTAATATCATCTAACTCTATCTATTGTAGTATTTGGTACCTCATACCAGAAAGGAAACATCATTTGATTTGATGACATTAATTCCCTTGTGCTGCTTCCTAAATATGCCCGCGTTCATGTTCTAGCTAAAATTAGTTTTCGTATCAGCTCAACTTCCTTTGATTTTAACACTTGTATCCCTGTTATATATTCACAGTAATACCCTCTCCTGAAGCTCGGAAGAACATGATGAAACTGGCTCAAAGAATGATCAGAACATTTAGCCTGAATATCAGCACTTCTAGTGGCCAATCGTGGACAGTTTTATCCGATTCCTATGATACTACTGTTAGAATTACCACAAGGAAAATGACTGAGCCTGGCCAGCCTAATGGGCTCATTCTCTCTGCAGCATCCACAACTTGGCTGCCATATCCTCACTACCAAGTCTTCGATCTCTTGAGGGATGAACATCGCAGATCTCAGGTTCAAATGGACACTATAATTAACTTTTTAATTGATTTTTACTCGCTGCAATTAAGATAAACTGTTTCTAATAATGGTCCTTATGCTGTCTAGCTGGAAGTTCTTTCTAATGGGAATGCCTTAGATGAGGTTGCTCATATTGCCAATGGTTCTCATCCAGGAAATTGCATTTCTCTTCTTCGCATCAACGTAAGATTTTTCTTCCCTACATTTATAATTAATTTTCTATTATATACATCATTATAAATGTCCCTCCTTTTTTTGTTGAACCTGTTTTTCTATTTATTACTGATTTACGTAAAAAACTAAAAACAGTTGAATTTACCTCTCTACTTATTTATTGCTCTCTAACAATCCCTCACGAACTAATCATGACATATGTGCAAGAACTTTATTTGTATTCCATTAAAAATAAAGGAAAACCTTATTTGTTGTATACTTGCATGTATGTAGGTCGCAAGTAACTCATCGCAGCTTGTAGAGCTGATGCTACAAGAGAGTTGCACAGATCAATCTGGAAGCCTTGTTGTGTACACCACTTTGGATGTCGATTCAATTAAGCTGGCAATGAGCGGTGAGGATCCATCCTGCATTCCTCTACTTCCACTAGGTTTTGTCATAGTCCCAGTAGAATCCAGCAGTAGTACTGCTAGTGAAGGCAACTCAATGCCATCTAATTCTGAGGATGGAAATGGACATAACAACTCAGGTTGTCTACTCACTGTGGGGCTCCAAGTTCTTGCAAGCACTATTCCATCTGCAAAGCTCCATTTCTCCAGCGTCACTGCCATAAATAACCATTTGAGCAACACAGTGAAACAAATAACTGTTGCTCTTGGCAACACGATCACCACCACAAACACCACTACTAGTAGCTGCCTTGATAACGGCAACGCTGTAGGCTCTTGCAACGAGCATACAGCTGCACCCAAACAATATGTTTAGGGTTTTCGCCGTGGAAATTACCTCAAGTCTCCCCTCCTCTATCTCTCTCCCAGAGAAACTCCTGGTTTACACCAAGGGTATTTTGGTAGTTACAACATGTGAAATTTGAGAAAGAGGGCTTAATTGGGTCTAAGGGATCCTCTTTGCTAACCCCTTTCTATTGGGTTTGTTCTGTTTTTTAAGAGAGGGAGGGGAGACTTTAGGTAATTTAATTAGTAGGAGAGTAAAGAGTAGGATTGCAAATAAGTTACCATTAGTGTAATACTAGTAGCTGTAGTGGTAATTTGGTAAATAAGAGACTGTGAAGCTAATTGGGTCAGTGGGGTGGATGTTAGGTAAGTGGAAATGTGAGGGTGGGTGTGCCATAAATGGAAAAGATATATATTGGGGGTGTAGCAAAAAAAGAAAAAAGAAAAAAGAAAAAAAAAGTACTATATGATATGTGTGATGATAATAGAGGGAGTCAAGAGCGCACCAAGATGTGACCCTTGTTTTTTGGTAAGGCCTTTCTTTGTGCAGTAGAGTTATGGAGATGAGGCCTCACCAGTCAGCAAGGGTGGTGGTTCGGGTATTGACTTCTGCTTGTCGGTCTTTTATGTTTGAATGAATTGTTTTCCTTCACATTCTTATTTCTTCGCAATTATCCATTTTATCCTGTAATATGGATATCTGTTACTCTTTCGTGGGTCTCTGTTAAATTACTAATATATCTCTCTTTGGATAGTAAACTTCAGTACTGACTGTTCTATTTTGGATCCTTTATCTTATCTTTCGAGGATCATTTATCTTTGCTATGGGATCATATTTACTCTTTCGTGGATCATTTATTATACAGTATAGTAATATGATAAGTTACCTTAGTAGTTTGTATTAATTTCACACCTACTCAAAACATAAATGAGGAAAGTGAAAAATGTGAAATTCTTCTTTGCATGAATGATAGGTGGAACCTGGAATGTGCTTCAATGATATCTTTAACCCCTCCAGGTTAACAATGGAGTGCAGAAGAAAATAAGGGACATATTCGCAATCCTTAGTATCTTTTCTTCTTTACCTGGGAATTAAATGTAAATTTGCAAATATCTTTGGAGAATTATTGGAATTTTCTATATGTCCATCTTCCCTTTATTCTTGATAAGTCTGAAAAGCGGCAGAAAGGGAAATAGCGGTCTAACAGTTAGCAGAAGAAAGAGTCGTGAACGAAATTCACTTCAATTTTTTCATAACGAGGGTATTTCTGTATCTTGCTTTATTCAATAGAGCGCCAAACCCGAAACAGAACTACATACAAATAGGGGGTAGAACAACTTCACCAATAAGACTAAAGACAAGCTTCTGATGCCCGGATTCTTTGGGAATTAAACCACCAGGATTTTAATATCTATCTCTGTATATGCCGTGATCCTCGAACCCAAGCTACCTCATTAGGAAACAAATCCTTCAAATAATGATCCTAAATGGACATGTTGAACATAAGTTTCCGAAGTCTTAAACCTTGAAAAAGATTTCTACAGAACTAATTAATCTATTCGAGATGAAATGTAATCGGTTAAAAGTAAGTCCCTTTAAGGAATAATTGATGAAATTCCATATTTCCCCTTTATCATCAACACCATCATTTCTTAGCTCCACTTGCAATTGATATTGCATCTCATCGTCATAGTATATTTCCAAAATATTCCATGATTTGTATCATTAAGGCGGACGTAACACCAAATCAATGGGAATATTATATCATAGAGATCGAATGATACGTGTGCCCTTGGTTCCAATGTTTCCGATACTTCATAGGATTTCTTATCGCTCATGTATGGTATTCCACGGCTAGCATCATTGGTAATTTTTACTTTAACCGACGGAAAAATACAATTCACAAATGCTTTCAAAGGGTTAGAAGATGAAGGAACGAGGAATGATAAAAGAAGTACAAAGATTGCATCATGTGGAGTGTTGTGTTTGGCTTCGTTTGTTTCGAGAAAAATAATTTTTAATAGAAAACGTAATTCTTGAGAAACTATTTTTTAGAAAGTTTGTTTTTCAAAAACATATTTTCTTATGTTTGGTAATTACATGAAAAAAACAGGTTGAAAAATATATTTCGTATTTGATAGAGAAAACTCAAATACAAAAACAAGCTATGATTATTACATCAATAAGTTTTGAAAAATTATTATTCAATAATATGTATTCACAATCTCACAATATAAGATGCATTTAAAAAAATTTATTAATTTTTTTTAAATTCGACTCTAAGATTTAAATTAAAAAATTAAAATATACATTTTTAATCATTGATACAATTCATCAAAACTATTTGAGATAACACTAAGTTAGTATTCGCATTTAGTAAAAAAAAAAAAAAATCTAAGTAATTCTAACATTGTTATTTGTTAACTCAATTAAAAATTCTTTTTTTTTTCGAAATTGAACGGATAATTTAGTCTAAAAAATAGTTTTACAAATTATTAGTTATTATTTTTAGATAATTATTCATTTGTTCCAAAATATTAATGTTAGAATAATTTGTAACTAATTATTGACTATAATTATCAAAAAAATCTTACAACCGATTAAAATTAGTTATAAATTATTGATTTAGTTGCAAATGAATAATATTGAAAAAATAATGTATTCATTAATGAATTAATTAGTTTCAAAATTTTCACAAATAATTACGGTTTTATAATAATCATTTTCATCTATTTAAGTATACTTTAGGTGGTGTTTGAGATAATTATAGAAAAAAATAGGGATAAATTATTGAAATATTTATTATAAAAATGGTTTTTTAAGAATAGTTAATGTGTTTATAAATCAAAAAATCAAAGGTTAGTAGAAATAAAAAAATTTAAATAATTGATAAGAAATAGTAAAAAATTAATTTGATATATTTTAAATAAAAAAGAAGGTAGATAAAAAATTGTTAAAATATATCGAGAGAGAGAGATAAGTAACGCAAAAGCGAAATAGCTCGTGAGGGATCAAGAAAACATTTTTTTTTCTTTTTTAACTCGGAAGTTATTTTTTCTAAAAATGGCCTATCAAATTCTATCGCATAAAAATCAAAATTTTTTATTTTTTTTCTTAAATGCAAAAAAATATCAAAAAAAAAAAGAAAATGAGGAAAACAATTTTTTAAAACTTATTTTATTCGAAATAAATATAGCCTTTGAAAGCGAGTCACGATAGCAATATGTGCTCGTCAATGGTGGTTATCAAATGATGGTAGTAACGATGGGTATGGTAGTTGTTGTATTGTTTATGAACTACGAACAAGACGACGACGTTGGCACCAACCGAGGATGAAAAAGTTCGAACAAGGACTTCGGGCCTCAAGTTAAGTAATGTCAAAGATGAATGCACGAGTTCTTTTTAAAGGGGGCAAAAAAACGATTATCGATCGATTAGTGATTCCGAATAAATCATGACAACTACTCGTCAATTATTTTACTTTTCTGTTTATTATTATTTTGGTACATCAAGAAAAGAGAAGCAAAAACTCTTAACACAAAGATAACTCCATGTACAACTCTTTTTTTATAAGTAGCAATTACAAGCATAATCCAAATGGATTTAACCATTACTACTAGTGAAAAATTTTCATCATAATCAACATCTTATTTTTGACGATACCCTTTTACCATCGGTCCGGCTTTGTATATGTATACATATCCATCCATGTAGGTCGTTCTTTTAAAGACCCACTTACACCTAAAAGGTTTAATACCTTCGGGGGATCAACCAAAGTCCATACTTGGTTAGTGAACATGAATTCCATTTCGAATTTCATGGCCTCATGCCATTTTTTGGAGTCAATGTCTAATATTGCTTCTCTGTAGGTATTATCTTTATCATCTCGTATGACGGACACATCTTCATGTATTGATACTAGAAGACAATATCTTTACGGCTCTTGAAAAATCCTTTTATGCCTACAAAGTTCGTATGTATTGATTTGTGGGATAGTTATAACACTTTGTAACTTTTCTACTTGGAGTTCCTCTAGTGGAGTATTAATTGGTAAGTCATCTTGAATCTCATCGAGTTCAACGTTCCTCCCATTAGTTCTAACATTTATAAATTCCTTCTCAAAGAATATGACATACCTAGCCATGAATACTTTTTTTTCTTATGGTTGGTAAAAGTAATATTCATTTGGTTCTTTTGGATATCCCATAAATTTATACTTTATTGATTTAGGCTCAAGTTTGTCTTAGTCTAAACAAATGCTTCACAACCTCAAATCTTAAAGAAAGATAAATTTGCTTTCTTTCCTTTTCATATCTCATATGGAGTCCGATCAACAAACTTTACTAGAACCCCGTTCAAAATAACTATCACGACAAAAAGCGCATATCATCAAAATGAAATTAGGATATCAATTTGACTCATCATAGATCGAACCATAACTAATAGTGTCTTATTCCTCCTTTTAGACACACCATTCATTTGTGGTGCTTCGGGTGGAGTATATTATGAGAGAATCTCATTCTCTTTTAAATGATCTAAAAATTCATTGTTTAAGTACTCTCCACCTCAATCTAATCAAAGTGCCTTATACCTTTACCTATTTGTTTATCAACTTCAAATGTTGAACTTTTCGGATGCTTTAGATTTATGTCGTGTGAGATGAGCATAACCAACATGCAATCTATCATCGGTAAAGGTTATGAAACAATCATATCTTCCTCTAGCTTGGGTGAACATGAGCCCACATACATCACTATTTAGGAGGCTTAACAAATCGGTAGCTTTTTCACGTTTTTCACTAAAAAGGGATTTTGTCATTTTTCCAAGCAAACAAGATTCATTGACATCATAAGATTCATAATCAAATGATTCTAAATATCTATTTTTCTACGAGTTTGGATATGCAATTTTTTTTTATATGGCTAATTCAACAATTCCACGAGATAGGTTTTGTTTAGATCATTATTTTTTAGTCTTTTTATATTTACGTTATAGATAGGTGTGTCTATGTTCAAAACATATAAACTCGT